CTTAATTTTTGCAAAATATAGTAAATTTTACTAATAATTATGCTGACCACGTGGATTCAAAACAATCAACAACATTTGAGGTCCCATCCAACATCAAGAGGTCATGGATGAATAAAACAAGGAAAGACCAATCTTTTTGAGATAAGAGCTTACCTAGGAGTCGTAATCAACATGGGTCTCATCAAAAAAGCTAATCTTAAACTTTACTGGGATATAAGTCATCCTTGTGCATCTACTCCCTGGTTTGTTACTTACTTCAATCGTGACCGGTTTCAACTTTTGCTTAAATTTCTTCATTTTACAGACATTCATATACCAAATCAACAACCACTCAATAAAATTTATAAAATTCAATTTTTAGTTGAACATTTTAACAACAAATTTCTTTATTATTATTATCCACAAAAAGACATTTCTATAGATGAGAGTATGGTTGGATACAAGGAAAGACACCACATCGTCAATATGACAAACAAACGTCATTCTAGGTTTGAGAATAATTTATGGTGTGTTTCAAATAGTACTAACGGTTATTGGTGTCAATTCGAAATTTACAAGGGAGGAAGAAGACCCAGATGTAACAGCCATTGCCTATGGTATGACTTATAGTTAGTTTTTCGTCTTTGGCGCCAAACTAATTTCCTCCACCAAGGTCATCACTTAGGTATTGACAATTATTATACTTCTCCTCAACTGATATTAGATCTATATGCTCATCAGATCACTACAACAGGCACAGTGAGAGTCAACAGGAAAGGCCTACTAGAAACCTGCATTAAATCGAAATTAAAAAATAAGGAGGTTTGCCAATATAGGAAAGGTCCATTGTTGTGTGTGGCTACCAAGATGGTAAAAAAAGCCTATATTACTATTTACTGTTGCCAAAACAGGTTTTACTGAAATGCGTAACAGAAGAGAAAATTTAGTTATGAAACCAAATGTTGTTTCCCTTTAAAATAAAAACATGGGGGGAGGGGTAGATTTGGGTGATGATCTATGTGTACTTGCCTGAGCGTAAAACAATAAAATGGACAACTAAAGTTGCTTTTTCTTTATTCGGTAAGGCAATTTTAAATAGCTATATATTGTATAAGCTCAATACAAATGAACTAAAGCTAATGCTAAGAATAGATTTTATGATGGCTGTAGTGGAAAGTTCTAAAAGAAGAACATCAAAAAAGATTGAAGTGGCTAGAAGTACAATTATCCCATACCCACTTTCCCAACATACTGCAAATAGCAATCCATTATATGGTCACAATCTTTTTAAGGTTGATGCAGGAAAAAAAATAAAATGTGTAGCTGGGCACCAAACTCGAGTCTGCACAAATTGGCAGTGTCAGTTATGTGGTGTTGGATTGTGTCCAGCCTGTTTTTCCAATTATCACACAGCAATTGTGCATTAAAGTCATTAAACTGCTTTTAATCTTATATAACCTACAAAAAAATGAAAAAGTTCAAAAATAGTTGTTTTCTTGTTTGTTTGTTTTTTTTTTTATGTTTATTTCCAATTTTTTTTTGCCGATGTTTTTTTAGTTGAATTTTTCTGAACAGCGTTTAAATTTTATCGAGCGCTAAAAGGGTAAAATAATAATTTACGTAATTCTATGTATAAATTTACTTAACTCAATAAATAATTAGAAACGTATATTATCCAATCTATGTATAAACTTAACTCAATAAATAATTAGAAACGTTTATTATCCAATCTATGTATAAACTTACTTAACTCAATAAACAATTAGTATATTATGACCTAGAATATACAATGAAGTGGTTTCTTAATTACAATATACAAATATTAGAATATACATTATAAATTATAAATTAAATCAACCGATGTAGTTTTGAGTTTATTCCACTAATATCCACGGAAAAGTTCAGAAGAACCAATCAAAGTCTATATATGAATCAACAACAATCAAATTCTTATTACCGCTAACAAAACATTTACAAACTTAGCAACCATATTGCTTTGACGAAATTTTAGGAAATATTTTCTTAAAGAAATCTTGCATTTTTACGACGAGCAGATTTAATTTTTTTTGTACTGTTTTTAAATTTTCGTAGAAAAAGTTGGAACTGCTTGTTTTGTTTAAGTCTACTATTTATTATTTCTAATTAGAACTTAAGTTACAATGCATTCAAACTTGCGCACAGTGGTGCAGAAACTCAAAAAATAGGCCACATTTCAAAAATTTTCAAAACTTTATAAAATGATTTTTTTTTTTTAAATTATGTTGCTTATATTATCTAAAAATATGTAGTTTTGTTATTTTTTTTCATTAACAGAACCGCTAAATGGATTATAAAGACGTCATTTTTGTAAAAAATTTCCATAAAAAAGATACAACGCAATTATTATTTCTATGTTAATAATTTTTTTTTGTTTTTTTGTTTCGTCAAATTCTACGTCAAAAAAGTTTTACCTCAATAAAGTAAATAAAAAACTTTTAAAAATTACTCTAAAAAATCCTAAAAAATGCAGCTATTTGTAAATTTTAATTCGTTGTTTGTTCAAAAAACATCCTACTCAAGCTAATCTAACACAATCTTTATTAAGTTCAGGTTACGGTTATATCTCGTTAAAAAATTCAGCTGCATATATTCATGCATTCTGATTAATTTTTAGCTACTAACTTTCAACCTTTTTTATGCTCTTACATTTTCAAAGAATATATAAAATTTGCTTAAAAAATATATAAATGCGAAAATTTTATAAATGCCAATAACCAATTCACTTTGTGCGGTTGCCTTTACTTTTTTGTTAGAAATTTTGTTTTTGTTTGGGTAAAAAGACATTTTTTAATAATTTTTATCTTCTTTAAAGTTGAGAAATGTTGACGGATTTGGTGGTTTTTGAATCGCTTTTATTTCAATTGAAAATTTTTTAATTTTGTTAAGATATACGCATTTGTATCGCACACTTCCCCTTAAACCACTACAAAAATAAAATAAAATAATTTTCTATAACTTTTTCATTAATAAACTGAACTTTTTTATGTTATTTGGTTTTTAAAAATGTTAGTAAAAATCACTCGCTTAGAAATATTTAGAAATAATTACATAAATTTACCAAAAAGTGTTATTGCTGAAAAATGCAGGGTTTTACTAATAGAAAAACAAAAGTCTTGTTATGATAATAACATAAAAGAAAAACAAATTTTCAAAATGCGCCTTTTTACTTTCATTAACCAATGCAAATTTAAAATAATCAAATACAAACGTTGCAAATCCCGCTTTTTAAAGTGCGAGTTCAATTGGCTCAAGGGTTTTCCAGTCAACAAGTCGATTGCTGCAAGAAACACTACACAGCAAAAAACATAACGCTAAAATAACGGTTACATAACGGTAAATGAAAACTTTGGCGTTATGTTCACCGTTATGTTCGCGTTATGTTAAGTTAAAAGCTTTATGCCCAAAACAATTTGTATGATATTTATAAAGCGTTATGTTTAACCGTTATGTTTAACAGTTTTATTATTATAAAATAGCGCAAATCTAAAGGATTTTTGCAATTAGATTTTTTGTTGATAATGTCTCTACTATTATAGTTTACGTATTTTATTTACATACAGTATTTACCACTTAATAAGTAACTTAACTATAAAACAGCTTTTTGGATGTTTAACATCCAAAAAGCTGTTTTATAGGCTTCAGAACCACAAATTCAATATATATAAATTAATTAATAATTGATTTATATTTATTGGATTTGTGGTTCTGAAGCCCATAACTGATTGATATGCTAAGCATACCAATCTAGCAAATCAAATACTAATCATATAATATATATATATATATATATATATATATATATATATATATATATATATATATATATATATATATATATAATTCTAACTATTTATTACTTATTACTATTTTACCAGGTACTTACATAATTGCAACATAATGTTGCCAATTAATGTTGTTTTCCTATATTTATTTAATACTTACTGTTTATTACTTATTACTATTTTTAAAATTAATTCCTAATTAAAAGTAATAAAAAATTTTAAATATACTATTTGTAAAGTTGAAGTTGTCTAAATAATAATATCTGGATTACTGATTTGTACAATAGTTAATATTTTAAAATGCTAAAGGCCGTTGTTGTAAAATATCTTGGGAAAATAAAAATAGTTCTTGCTAATAATAGCAATATTGCAGACTTTTTAACGAATGGTAAGCATATTTTTGAATGCAGTTTCACATTCTTTTTTTAATCAATCTTTTTTTTCAAGATCAGTTATTCAATCTTCAAGTTTTTCACAGCTCATTTTTTTCTCATTAATATTTAAGACTTTATAGATGTAAAAAAAAAATGGTTATTTGAGTTATTTAATTTAAAATTGTACTCTTTTAGTTTCTAAGAAGTTTGGTGACATCTATATCAGTGGCATCATGTGGAATAGATGTGAAGTCGATTCAGAAACATTTGTTACCATTTTAAATGAACAAAATTTGGAAGTCGAAGTTTTACCTCCTGCAAATAATAATGAGTTTGGCTCTTTTGTTCAAAGTTTAAAGGGGTTTTCTCCTGTTAAAAATGTTTTTTCTGCTGTAGATCTCTCTCACCCTGTTTCATTTGATTTTAACAACCAGCAATCCAGCAATCCAACCAAAACTCCTCAACTTTCAACTGCTACTATATTATACCAAGACTCTCATTATGAAGACAATGTCCTTGAAGATTTAGAGTCTACAAATTTGCAAAATTCAAGTTTATTGTCAACTGCTGAACAAGCTTCTTTATCAAGTGCTGAACCACCTACATCTCAAAAAGTAATTTTATTTTGTTTTAATTGTAGTTTTCACACAAGTAAACAATATGTAATGATATCACATCTTAAATTACATGGTCAGGAAGGTTCAGTTGTATGTGAAAACTGTTTTTCAAAATTTAAAAGTGTTTAAGGTTTTAAACTTCACAATAAAAACTGTTTGGCTTTTTTTGATACTGAAACTGAAGTAACTAATGATAATATTGATTTTAATATAGATAAACTGACAATTTTCAATTTTTGAAAGAGAAAAGAAAAGATCAACTTGCTGCATTAGCTCTTCATTTGCGAGGGAAATATAGATGCTCGGAAAATGTTGTCAACATTATTTTTTCAAATTTACAAAATCTTTTTATTAATAAATCACAAAACGAAGAGATTAATACAATTTGTAAACAACTATCAACAGAATATTCTAGAACAAGATATTTTCAAAATGCTTTTAAAATGCCACAAATTCAGTCTGTACGCAAAAATAGTTTACACGGATGTTTTATTCCATTTAAAGAAATAATTCAGTTCATTTTTACATCAAATGAATATAATACCATTCTAGAGTTTTCTTCAGAAATATCTATCTCATTGTATTCAGATGATTTAGGGGTAACTAATCCGATAGGCAAATCTAGAGGAAAACACAAGTTGTGGGTTTTATATTTTCAGTTGTTAAACATTCCACAATGCTGTTTAAGTAAAACATTCTCAATATTCCCTTTAGCAATAACTGGTTCTAAATCAGTTAAGGACAATAGCTTTATGAAATCTCTTCTTCTTGACTTGGTACAATCTCTAAACGAACTATTGTTGATTGATTCATCAACATTAACCAATGCTAACGGTAAAAAATTCAATGTAAAGTTAAAACACTTTATTGGCGATTCATTAACTTGCAATGCAATCGCTGGTTTTAAAGAGGGTTTTAGCAAGAATGTTGTAAGGTGCTGTAGAGTTTGTAATTCGAACAGGTCAGAAATGTTAGTTTATAATTCTAAGTGTAAAGTAAGGAGTTTAGAAGAACACAAGATGAGGGTCAAAGAACTAGATAATCCTAGTCTTCCCCGAGTTTAACGTGTAAAATGGTCAAAAATATATGGTGTTCAATCTAACAGTATTCTATATGAAATTAAAGAATTTGATGTGACAAAGCAAGTTCTTTTTGATCCAATGCATGATTTGTTAAAAGGTGTAATACCATTGCAGATAGAACTTTACTGAAATCATGCAATTTTAAATGGTATTTTTACAATAGACAGCTTAAACAAATTTGTCATATTGTTTCAGTACGCTAAAGACAGTGAAAAACCACCTGTAATAGTAGATTTGGTTATTAAGGGGAAATTTGGTAGTGCTCAAGTTCTTTCTATTTGTCGTATTTTAACAATTTTTTAAAGAAATACTGCAATTGATTGTCATTTCTCCTGCCTTATTAAGCTGCTGCGTATTCTTCAAATGTGCCTCTCTCCAATTACCACAGAGGCTTATTTTATCTCTTTAGAAGAAACAATTGGAGTCCATCATACTCTTTTTATGGGTTTATATCCAGATAAGTTTATACCAAAGCTTCATTTTCTTATTCATTATCCTCAGCAATCCATACAATTTGGTCCACTACGATACCACATATCCATATCTTTTGAGAGGAAACACCAAGTAATAAAAAATGTTAGGCATTTTAACTTCGAAAATATGCTATTTAGTGCTATGAAGAGTATGGTTTTAAACACTGTAGCTTCTTTTTATAATTCTTTTGGAGAAATTAGTAATTGAGTTATTTGTGAATTAAATCAAGTTACGATTGAAAAAATGTTGTTACTTGCATTAATGGTATTAAATATTGTCCTGAATCGTCTTTATGGTTTCATGATGGTTTTCAATCTTTTGCTTATATTATTAAAAAAATACATGTAAAAGGAGAAAAAACAACATTTATTACCTCACAGCTTCAGTGCCTTTCTTACAATGTGTTACAAGGGTTTTTTACTGCTGTTGAGGACAATACAGTTCCTTTTAAAACTATTTCAGCCGAAAACTTAGATTTTCCATGGCCAGCGTTTTATTATAAGGAAGGGGACATTTCATATGTTGTACCCCCAGCATTGCCAGTCCTTATCATTTAGTTGCATTGAAAGAAAACTAGTTTTAATAAAAAGTGTATATTATTTGCAATAAATATGATTGCTCAGTCTGATTTGCATTTTTTATTTTGTCAGTTTTAGTTGTTGTAAATGTTTTATTTTTTCATAGGTTTCACAAATGTTTTAGAAGAAAATGTTGTTTTTTATTAATTTTATGTTTTATATATTTACATTAATAATTTATATTATTATAAACAGAATCCCTTTTGGTGGTGAGACTAAACAAGCTCTCATTGATTTTTTTCCACCTCTCATTAAACACTTTCTGAGCAACTAGTCTTCAGTTGAAGATAAAGTGATATCTAGAGAGCTAATGTCTTGTTTATTAGCTTTTTGTTGTTTTCATGTGCCTAATCATAGCAATATACAAAATAGATTATTGTTAAGTCTACTTGCATTTCCTTATATCCTTCTTACATCAATAAATGGGTAATAACGTCTTTAATACTATAATTTTTATTTTTATTAAAATTGGTAATAATTATTATTATTTTAAATATTTTTGGCCTTCTACTTTTTCCTTTGTTTTAATATTTTTCTTCAGATTTACAAATTTCCTGCTGCATATATAAATTGTTTGATTTGATTTATTTAATTAAACTTTTGAACTTTTTAATTTTATATTAAGATCTCTTGTTCAAAAAGTTGCCTAATAATTATAGACAAAGACAATTTAGTAAATGCCACAGTTTAAAAGTGAAGCGATTTAAATAGTTCCATAAATAATAGCAGCCGAACAGTGAATCCAATTTTGTCAGAATCAGTTGTAGATAAAGAACAGCTAATACAAGATGTTGTAGTAAGATGTTTATTGTGTTCATTCATTTTTTGATTATTATTTCTAATTCTCCTATAAAAAATTATAGTCCAAACAAATAAACTTAGGCGCAAAAATTTTAGAAATATAATAACTATTTGTCAGCTCATTATTTTATTTTATTAAATAGCTATAAAAAAGAATATATATGACTCTTTCTTTCTCCTAGAATGAATTTAAGAAAAAAAAGCCGTCGCTTTCAACACTATCCATTATAAATAGACAACTTTTTAATAACGAGATTTATAGTGTTTTCCAAAAAGAGTTACATATGCTCCTGGATTAATACTGGAAGAAACAATTCGTTTTTACCCTAGTTTTAAAGACTCTGCTCTTAAGATTCAAAAGATGTTGGTTTGGATTTCTCCTGAGTCTCAAAACCACACTGAAAATTTAATGCTGCTGCAGAAATCACTCATTTCTAAGAAGACAACTGAAAAATTGTTTATGAAAGTAGACGTAAGTTTTTTTGGTTTTTTAATTGGTATTTAGCAAGTTCTATAAAATATAAACTTAACTCATTTAATTTTAATAATAATTTTTTCTTTTATCGTAACAATACTTATTTTGTATTTATAATATTTCAGTGTGATTCAATACATGATTGCTTAAGAGTGCCAAGCCTATATGGTCCACAAATTATATTTAATAAAGCAGAGTATGGTGTAAGGAGTCAAAGTGGTGTTGAGATTGATGTTCAGCCCTTGCTCAGTACATGCGAAATGGTAGTCGTTTTGATGGCTGTTTATTATTTGTTAGATTTAACATATCCTTCTTGTTTTGGGCAGCTTCTGGGATGTTTGCAAGATATTTGCGGATTTGGGCAATCGGATTTACTATCTAAAAAATGTATTTTAATTCTGCAATCTTTTCATAGCATTGCAAAGTGCTTTTGACTTTATTAATGTAATTTTTATCAAAGTTAATTTCTTCAATTATTTTCATGATTATGAAAAATGATTTAATATAAATATATTAAGGTATTAAACTGCATGACTTATTTTTTTAAATTAAACTTTTATTCAGATAAAAATGTTCAAGGTTAGTTTGAGGAATTATTTGGAAATTGGAAAAACGGAAATTGATCCCTTTTAGAGATATTGGCTATAATGGCTATAAAAAAAAATTAAAAATAGTGAATTTTTAGTTATATAATGCTATTTTGTTCAGATATCTCAGCACCACAAAAAACACCAAATTTGTTTGTGCTGCATTTATAATTCTGAATTCACTGTACACTCTGTCAGTTTTTGGTCCGTAAATTAACCAATAAGTTCCCCGAAATAGACTAAGTCTTTAATATTTGAAATTATTTTGAAAAAAAAAAATTATTTAATATTAATTTTGAAGAAATCTTTTTGGTCCATAAAACCTACAGGAGGTATACATTTTAAGAAGATATAACATTGTCACCCGAGAGGTTTTAGCTCATTTTATGTGGAATGACCCTATTATATGCTTATGGTCTATAAACTTTATACTATAATAGTATTATTATTGTAATATATTATATGATATTTTTATAATAAATTTTTCTAGTAATATAATATAAGTTAGTGTAGTATTAATAAACTAATTAAACTATGCCAAATAATGGTGTTTATTAATGTTGTTTTATAGTTGTGTAATAATGGTGTATACCTCGTACCGTCTGACCTCTGTCTGTTTATTATTACTGTTTTTAACATTAATTTTGTATTGTAAGTATTAAAAAATGTTAAATATACTATTTGTAAAATTAAAGTTGTATAAACTAATAACAACTGCTTTACTGATTTCTATAATAGTTAATAGTTGAAAATAATATTGCTGTTGTTGTCAAATTTCTTGGGGAAAGAAAATTGTTCTTGCTTGTAATATTGCTGACATTCTAACTAATGGTAAGCATATTTTGTAATGCAATGGTTCACATTCTTTTTTCCACTTTATGTACTAATAATAATTTTTTATTTTATGATTGTGATACTTATTTTTTATTTATAAAATTTTAGTTTGATTCACTACATGAATATTTACGCCAAAGCTTATATGGTCCACAAGTTATCTTTAATAAAACAGAATATGATGTAAGGAGTTGAAGAGGTATCGAAATGGATGCTCAACCCTTGATCAGTACATGTAGTGGTTGTTTTGATGGTTGTTTACTATTTGCTAGATTTGACATATTCTTGTTTTGGCCGGCTTCTTCCGGGATGTTAGCAAGATTTTTTAAGCTTTTTGCAATAGGCTTTATTATCTAAAAAATGCATTTTTCTTCTGCAATCTTTTCACAGCAATGCAAATTACTTTTGAATTTATAAATGTTAATAAGTTATTTTATTCAATTATTTATTATTAATTTTGTAAATAATTTATTCAACTATTTTGTAAGTAATTTATTCAATTATTTTGTAAATAATTTTCATGATTATGATAAATAATATAATATACATATATTATAAAATGAAACTGCATTTTTTTTTCTTATAACAACTTGTATTGACAAAAAAATGTTTTTTTGTTAAGTACTTCCTGTGAATAATCATGCAGAATTATGCGTTTCTTTAAAAAGATAGCTTTCATTTTACATAACGGTAACATAACGGGTAATTACCCGTTATGTTAGGTTTTCAACATAACGGTAACATAACGGGTAATTACCCGTTATATAACGGGAGTTTTCCTCGCACATAACGGTAAATTAACGTTATGTTACCGTTATGTTTAAGGCAATATTGCTATGACTAAACATAACGCTAAAATCGTTATGTTATTTTCATACATGTTAAGTATTAAACATAACGGCAATTACCCGTTATGTACGAGGAAAACTCCCGTTATGTTTTTTAAAATAATAACGGGTATTTTATTTACTGTGTACTTTTTATCCTTCTTCATCTATCAGTATTTCGAGATCTCTCGATGACTCTAACATTAAAAAATAAGAGGTTTTTTATTTTTTGTTAATTTTATGTTTATAAGTAGTATTTGTAAATGTCATTTATTTATAAGTATATTTATATACCTATGTTTGTAAGTATATTTTTGATAATTTTTTTTTATAAATGTCTAAAGTACAAAACTTGGATGAGAAAGCACATTGTACTAAAAAGTGAGCTTCATATAGTTTATCAAAAACTACTTCTATTAAAAAGTTCTTATTTGCTGCATCAGCTGCTGCTAAAGCATTGCAAAAACCTGATTTGTTATACGTTCTAATGCATTTAAAAGAAGAACCATCAAGTGCAACAAGTATTGCCGAGTTCTTAAAACGTGACTTAAAGGCTAATTTTAAATCATCATTGACTCCTGAGGATTCTATTGCATTGATGATCTTGACAGATTTGATTAGAAATGCTTATCAAAAGCTTAGAAACAATGCCAAGAAGAACAATGCTGTACTTTATCCAAGCTATTGCAAAGTACTACAAGCTAAACAACTATGCTATCCTAAGAATATAACTGTTACGGAGTCAACATGCAAGGTACCATTGCAAGATCTGCTGAATCATACAAGTTGTCGATTACTGCAGTTAGATCAAGTGCAATCTAAAGTTAAAAACTTGGTTGAAATATTTGGTAGAACATTATTTCTAAGCGGAAAATGGGACTTTGACGGTGCATCTGGACAAAGTATGTACAAATATCATTTTTATTTTGACGATAGCAGCTCTGATAAGCCTATATTGTCAACAACATTTGTTCCACTTGATCTTTCTTTTAGAATACATTAATGTCTTTTGGCAAACCGTCTAGTTCAATTTGAAGAAATCAAAAATCTTCGACTTCACAAGAAATTGTAACAAAGTATTTCAACACACTGCAAAGTGTGCAACACACTGCAAATTCAACATAATAGGTATCAACGAAAATACTCCATGTCATTTGTGGAATTTTGAAATTGGCTTTTCTGGTGATTAAGGTGAGCAGCACATAGTTTGCCGGCGTGATGCAAAGCGGCCATTGAAATTGGTTGGCAACAATGAAAAAATACATTATACTGTTGGAAATTGCATTAATGCTGATGCCAATCGTTGCTCCATACTTTATTTTTGTTTCAAAAAAACGTCTGTGCAGAGATTGGTGTGTAAGTGGTCCAGATGATGCCATATACGCCATATCTCCATCCGGATGGATGGAAGATAAGCAATTTGCGCAGTGGCTCGCTAAAGTGTATATTCCCGCCATTAAGAAAATTCAAGGTAATTAGTTCAATCTAATTTTAGTTATCTAATTATATTTGTTTAATTTTACATTTATAAAGGATTACATCTATCTAATTATAGTTATCTAATTTTAGGTATTCATATTTTAGTCGTAGATGGACGTGTGACAAATATAACTTATCGGGTACTTATTGGCATTGAAAACAAAATTTGCTTTTAACTCACTCGTTTCACATTCTGCAACCACTAGATGTTGGTGTTTATTGCCATGTCAAAAGAGTATGGCGCAAACTACTTCAGCAAAGCAAGCTAAAAAACAACGTACGGTTAGCTTTAATAGCGAACAGCAAATAAACCAAGCAACAAAAATATTAGCTGCAAACTAATTCAAGTGTAAAAAGTGCCAAAACGTTTTAGGCGAAGCTTCAGCAAGTCAAAATAGTAAACGGTACTAGTGTAAAAATTCAAATTGCAAGGTTTGGCAATGTTAAACATGCATACCAAAGTGATACGCAAAGTGCGTTGAGTTTTATTGCACCAAAAAGTGCCGCACAACTGAAAACTCAACTTAATCTCTAGCACCTCAAAACAACTCAACATCATCCCAACAATAAAAAAGTTTTTTTTATTTGATTGATTTTTTAATTGTTATTATCAATTGTATTTTTAATTGTTATTGTTGATTGCTTTTCGTTTTTTTTAATGAAGTATTGTTTTACATTTCATTTTCCCCGTATGTAGGTGTAGAGTGGAATAAATTATTTTTTAATCAAGTAAAGTTTTAAAAAAAACTTTTATTTTTAATTTTTTTATTTTTATTTATTCAAATACAGCTCTACAACATTCTCTCTAACTTTAAAAAAAATTTAACAAAAATCTTCTTTCCGTAAAAAAATATAATTAAAATGCTCAACTATTCCCATTTGACCCCATTTTACTCTATATAAATATTTTTTAAATGTAAAATTATTTTCACTCTGGATAATTTTGTAAAATCATTTTCAGTTTTTGTTTATTCTACATTGTTAATAGTTATTAAATCAATTGTATTTTTTTTTGTATAATTTATACACGTTTAATATATTTTATATGGTTTTGGCGGCAAGATCTTTTGGATCTTCTTTTAAATACCAAGTTTATATATTGTTATATTGTTTATATTACAATTAAAAATTTTTTTTTTTGTTTTTTTTTGCGCTTCGGTATTTGAAGAGATAAGATGCTTTTTTAATAAAAAATTAAAAAAAAATGGCAAAAAGTTTATCAATAACACAAGTTAAAGAATTACTCGAAGCACACGAAAGCAACGTATTAAAGAGATTGGGTGATAAAATTGACAAACTAGAAGAACAAATTGAAGTATTGCAAAAAAAAAAATTAGGTCATTAAAAATAGAACTAATAGTTATGAACACTGCAATAAATTTCCAAAACGAACAGTACGAAAAAAGGATGAAACAATTCAACAGTCTAAAAAAAATTTAAAAAACAGTGTTAAAATAAGGGGAAATCTAGAGAATAAAGATAAGTTTAAAGATAAAATTGCGGAGATAGAAGATAGGAGTAGGAGAAACAATCTTTGTTTCGAGGGATTTGAGAAAAAAAAAATGAAACATGGGATAAAAGTGAAGTCAAAATAAAAATATTTCTTAAAGAAAAACTCGGTATTTAAGACAACGTTAGCATCGAAAGAGCTCATAGAACCGGAAAGAAATATGAAACTGGGAAAAAAAAGTAGAACAAATATAGTGAAATTTTTTAATTATAAAGACAGAGAAAAGGTTTTTAATATAAACACCTTAAGCTATGGAATGAAAGAATATTTGTAAACGAAGATTATAGCGAAAGAACAATTAAAAAAAAATTCTTTTTCAACAAGCTAAAGAACACGAGCAGGTGGTAAGTACGCTCTAGTTGTTTATAATATGCTCTTAACGCCCGTGTAAAAAAAAGAAAATCTTTTAAATCTTGTTACTCTATAACTAAACAAAAATAAATAACTACAAACCACATCCTTTTGACTTTTATAAAAAATACTTAAAATCAGATGAAAATTCTGACCCGGATATTAATTTTTTTAATGATATTTACACAGAGTGCTTATATCATTATCCGAGCAAATTAAAGGAATTTCTTTTTAGAAATTATAATAATTATGATTGTAAACAAATCAGAATCCTTCACATTAACATTAGTACTTTATATAAAAATTTTGAAAAACTTCGATGCTTTTTGAAGAAACTGAAAACATTTTAAATATTATTTGTCTAAAAGAAACTTGGTGTTCTATAAATGAGATTTTAAACAAACTCTAATTTCCGTTACTCTTGTTATGAAATTATTTCTTTAGAAAGACATTGTGGAGCTCGGTGGAGGAGTTCTGATTTATGTAAAAAATAACTTGGCACATTTTATTAAAAGCAATTTGAGCGTTTCTAACGGTGATAAAGAAATCGTTACTATTGAAATATCAAACAATATGAATAAAAGCATTCTTTTAAGCTGCTGTAATAGGCCACCTGATGGAGTTAGTAAGAGGTTTAGGTCATACTTACATTAATACATAAATAACAAAGGTAACAATGAAAATAAAAAAAAATTGATAGGGGATTTCAATATAGATTGTTTAGTATATGATGATGAAAATAAGGCAAGGAGCTTCTATGACGAAATTGTAAAAGCAGGAGGAATACCACTAATCAACCGCCCAACCAGAGTAACTAATAGTTTTGTCACTATTATTGATAATATTACAAAAACTGACATTTTCAATACTAAAAAAACAAAACAGAAATCGTACATAAATTACCTAAAAACAAAATCCTCCGTAAATGAAAAGATATTTAAAATTATAGGCATCTATTTGAAAAAGTTCGAAAAAATCTAAAAAAGAATTACTATATCAATCCCAAAACAAAATTTAAAAATGACTCGAAGCAAACACAGAATATTAAAAAAGAAATAAACAGCAAATTTAAGACCTGCTCAAGCGCGTAATGGCTCTGCTAAAAACAATTACAGTTGAAAATTAAAACTTAAACGGGATT